ATTCTAACTGAAGTAAGATGGCTATAAAGGCATTTTAAAAAAATATTTTTAGTTGTAGATGGACACAATTCCTTTATTTTCTTTCTTTATTTTCTGGGTTTTATGCCTGATGCCCTAGTGTCATTATTAACAACACTGCTTTTCATTCCCTAAAGTATTCCCTTTTTTAGATTAAAGAAGTGGGCAACATATTGATGGATTAAATGAAATTGGTCACAAGTTGATAACTGCTGAACAGTAAATGTAGGAGGATTTGCACTATTTATGCTATGCTAGTTTGAATATCTTTAAAATTTTCCACAATGAAAAGTTAAAACAATCTCATTTTTATCTCAAAAAATCAGGAGTTTTGCAATTATTAAGTGACTTTTCCGACAGTTCTGAAGCCTGCATTTTAAAAAAAGAATATTGTTAAAAATTAAGATCCCTTTTTCTAATTATTACGATAATACTGTATCCTCTCAGCTTTACATTCAAATAACACACACCTTAAAAACAAATCTTTGTTGGACTGGGGATATTGCTCAGCAGTACAGTGCCTGCCTACCATGTGTGAGGCCCTAAGTTAATCACCAGCATCACAAAAAATAAATAATTGTCAGCCATCTAAATGTAGAAAACTATATTATATATTTTTATGACAGACATAAAAATATTAACATCAAATACTAAACAGCAACACTAGAACAAATTTTTACAGCTTATTTTATATAAGCAATTTTTCCTAAATAATTTCAGGTAATTATAAAACTAAAAGTACACAACTGGATAATTACAGATAAAAACAGAATAAAGGTCATATATAAAAGTGTAATGATGAGTGAAGGTCAAACACTTGAGATGAACTAATTATTACTGAGAGTCACTAAACTGAGTAGATAATATCAATTAAATAATTATTTTAAGTCTAATAAAATTCACATTTGTCTCTAAAGACCAAGAGTTATAAGCTCTTGGCCTGAGAACTGGATACAGACCTACCAATCCCTCACAAAAATGTTATTCCCTACCAAAGGAATTTAATACAAATGTATCTGAAACCCTTATTTTATTGAAAAATGTTTTATTAGGACCAAGCTCAGAGAGAAATTTTTTAGATCATATACAAAGATTTTGGGCAATATTTTCAAATGTAGTTTTTAAAAGTTGAAAAATACTATTCTAATCAATAATACTTGCTTTGTCCATAAAGGCTCATGATACACTGATAGATTACAAAAGTCCTAATATTGCCTCTCTAGTTTACTATTAGAACAAATGTTGGAAATTACAAAGCACTATAGACTGACATCATATGAAACTGTTTATGTCAGCTATTAAATATTTCCAATTAGTCTTCTGGAAGTACTGTTTTAGAATTCATAATAATGATGGGCCAGGCTTTGGTCTAAGAACTTTACTGTATTAATTCATTTAATTCTCACCAAAGTTTTATGAGATAGAACCATTATACCCACTTTAGACAGAACGGTTAAGTAATTTGTCCAAGGTCATAAATGTGCTTAGCCATCAGCAAGTATTGGACATAGAAGGCCTGGTTCAGGAACTCAAGCTCTTAATCTTACAGTATATTAGTTTACTGTATATGTAAAATTGTGTGCGTAGCTATAAGAAATGAAGACCACAGCTAGGCACAGTAGCACACACTTATAGTCCCCCAGCATCTGGGGAGGCCAAGGCAGGAGGATTACTAGTTGAAAGCCAGCCTCAGCAAATTAGCAAGGCCCTAAACAACTAAGTAAAACCCTATTTCAAAATAAAGAATAAAGGGGCTGCAGTTGTGGTTCAGAGATAGTGTTTGCCTACCATGTGTGAGACACTGAGTTCGATCCTCAGCACCACATAAAAATAAAATAAAAATATTATGTCTACTTATAACTAAAAAATATTAAAAAAAATTTTAAAAACCTCACAATATATTATTCTGTATTGAACACTTAAGAGCTAGATAGACTCATACTTTTGTACAGATAGGTCAACCCACTTTAGTGGGAGATATCATAACAAATTAAAATTTTCTTTACCTCCAAATGATAAGCTTCTTTGAGGGATTCTACTTCTGCTGACAATTTCTTGATTTCTGCTTGCATTCTTGCTTCTAAATGAGCTTCACGTACTTGAGAAGCCCCCAATTCTTCAACTAAGTGAATTTCATGTGCTTCCTTAAAAAATGACATATTGAGTAAAGGTTTATTTGTTTATCTTGTTAGTATAGCTAAACAAATCCAGTGCATTAATAGAAGCAGTTTAATCTTTATATAAACATACTTCAAAATCAATTAATTAAATGGTACATTTTTGAGACTTTTCAGGGACAACGAGTAAGAAAGTATTAGTGTATCATTTGGTACCATAAGTTCACTAACCAATACTTTCTGTAAAAACAAACTAATAACCACAGCATGCTGGACTTTGGCAGATAATGGTGCCTTCTTAGGTATGACTCTGTATTTTTGCTCACTAGTTACATTATTTGCTTAATAAGAATGAGGGTTTTTTAAATTTTTTTTTTTTTAGTTGTAGATGGACACAATACCTTTATTTATTTATTTATTTATTTATTTATTTTTATGTGGTGCTAAGGATCAAACCAAGTGCCTTGTGAGTGCTCTACCACTGAGCCACAATCCCAGCCCATGAGTTGTTGTTATCCAAACTTATTTAATGGGTACTTTATACTACCTGTGCTTGTTATTTTAATTAAGCAATTTTATTATACACAGAAGTCCCCCCCTTAAATGAATTAGGTTTTTGCTTTTGATGGTTTTGCTTTCTGTGGTTTCAATAATCTGCAGTAAAACCCAGTTCAAAAATACTAAATGGAAAGTTACATAAATAATTTAAGACAGACATGGTGGCCCACACCTGTAATCCCAGTGACTCAGGAGGCTGAAGCAGGAAGATGCCAAGATGGAGGCTATCCTCAGCAATTTTGCAAGACACTAAGCAACTCAGCAAGACTGTGTCAAAATAAAAAATGAAAAGGACAGGGGATATAGCTCAATAAAG